ACGTGTAACTGTAAGTTAAGGACTGTCTGTCCTTAACTTTTGAACTTGGAAATCAAAGTTAAGGACCTATTGTCCTTAACTTTTGAACTTGTAACTGTAACTTAAGGACTGCCTGTCCTTAACTTTTAAACTTGTAACTATAAGTTAAGGACTGTCTGTCCTTAACTTTAGAACTTGTAACTGTAAGTTAAGAACTGACTGTCCTTAACTTTTGAACTTGTGTCCTTAACTGTTGAACTTAACTTTAGGACTTCAAGACTACATTTCCTTGGTACCAAGTACTTGTATTTCATCTGAAGTGACTGAATGAGTTTTCTGTTCAACATTTTGCGAGACTATTTCTATATCTGGATCAATATCATAAGGAACTTCTTCGTCACTATCATTATTTGACTCAGAATCCGCAATCTTTGTATTAGCAGCTGTTTTCAAAACCAAAAGCATCGTTGTCAATCATAACAGTAGTGAACAAGCGCAAATTAAAACCTAAAAAAAATATTATATTGATATACACAATAGCGTTTGGCCATAGATCCCAAATTTATTTTGAAAAATCTGATTTGGGTGAAGTTTGGTTTGAAGATGAAAATGTGTTTGGACATACGATTTCAAAACATATTTTTCAACTTTATTTTGGGAAAACATGTATATAATTCCCAAGTTTTGGAAATTTGGCCCAAATTCAGCTTATTAGCTGAATTTGAGATTTCAAATATGTGATTTGAGTTTTGGCCAAAATGTGGGTCAAATTTATGGCCAAACATGGGATTTAAAAATAAATTTCAAATTAAATTTGGGAAAATGTATGGCCAAACAGGGGCAAAACAATGGTCTTAAATTACCTGGGCTCTTTGTTTTTGTTTCTTGAGTTGAGCATGCTTAGATAGTGTCACCTCAGTAGCTGGATTTCCGTTTGGGGAGGAAAGGATAACACATTTCATATTAATTTTAATAGACTAGTGGCTACTATAGCAAAGCATTAAAAATGCTGAATAAAAAGTAAATACCAGCTTAAACAGTGGCTACCCCACGCCATTTCTACTCATTCTTCCCAACCCATTAGCCCACTCTCCACTTAAAACGCAAGTTTTAATCTTAGCCATTTATTCCCCTCTAATCCAATGGCCATCATCCTTCCCACCTCCATATAAAATACTCTAGCCGAGGAGCACCCCCAAAAAGAGAAAGAAGTGGAGAACGGCAGACCGATCATATTCCTTAAGCTTCTGCGGCCACCCTCGACAAAAATCCTCCTACAATTCCTCTAATCTAGCAGGAGCTTGAACATCTCTAGATGAATTTGACATTGGACAAGGCAGAGAATTAATGAAATTAGGGAAATTGAAATAGCGGAGGATTAGAAAACAGTAGCACCACCCTACTAATTTTTGCCAAAATTAGTAGATAGAAAATTCCTTCTCACGTGAATTCCTTCTCACGTTGAGCTTCCAGTGGACAAAGCCTTATCTTCTCCATTTCACTGCTCTAGAAAATCCTAGTCTTTCATTTACGCATTCACCAATTTTACGAGCTAGCTCCGTTTGATACATGAAAAGGACAGAAAGTGGTGTATTGCCGAGTAATTATTTTCTTAAGAAGAGTTATTGGCGTTTGAGGCAGTGGGAGTCCGAGTTCGAGCATTCCGGTGCCGATTCGAGGTTCCGGTTCGTAATTTCGGCGTTTCAGTTCAACAATTGTTGCTTTGTTATTCATCAATATAAAGGTCCATTCGAATTCGAATTCATTTTTCTCAGCATTTGTTTACACTTTGAGTATACACTTGCTTTGATACATCAGTGTTTCTATTTGCTCGTGACGGATTCTATTTGCTCTATAGAAAATACTTGATCTCTTTCTTATTATTCGTGTACGATTGCGTATTATTTGGGTTATATATGGGTTTTAAAGATTAATTCATTTGAATACATGCAAGTTTGGTTGGATAATTTATGTTAAATACGCTATGGACTTTGATTTAGTTTTCTTACTTATATGGTTATGTTACGTTGCCTTTGTTTTAGCACGTTGAAGTGGTGATTTAAATGAGTTATTAAATTGGGTGGATGGAAAAATTGAAATAGTTTCTTTCTTGGCAAGGAATAAGAATGGGCCCTAAGGTGGGTCTTGAACCATAAGGAATTCGGGTCAAGTAATAGATCATGTTAGCTAGCCTATTTACTCCCCAATAATATCTTGTCCATAAATTTGGCATCAACAATCTCAAAGATAAGGAAAATAATTCAAATGCGCTAGTTGCTTTAGGCGCGATTAAATAAATCATCGTGATCATGGCTGTGGGTACGGTTCCCGTGGCATAGTCATGATACATAATCCCCAATTCGAGTGTGTACGTGACTTCACCATAACTTCAAACAATAATAAAATTAAACACGTTGTAGATTGCGGGTGCGTTTCACATGGCGCGATTTGCGATGTGTATAAACAACGAGTGTACGACAATGTAACTCGTCTTAGATTAATTCCATAAAAGCTTGAAATGTAGTAATGTAATAAAAGCAGTAAAAGGAATAAAAACGCGCATAGGTTTAAAATATGTATTGAATCAGATAATTAGGCCAATTATTAATGGTGGAGCGACCGTGCTAAAATCACAGAATTCGAGAGTGTCTCACACCTTCTCCCGGGTTAACAGAATTCCTTACCCGGTTTTCTGTGTTTTACGGACTGTAAAACATAGTCAAAACTTCCTCGATTTGGGATTTAAAATAAACCGGTGACTTGCGACACCATAAAATATTCCAAGTGGCGATTTTAAAATTAATTAAATAATTTTATTTCGATTAACATCACTTTAATTGGAAAAACTCTTTATCCCCTCGGAAAGAAGGAGGTATGACAAAAGGTTCCTTTCAAATGCAAAAACAAGGAATAAAAGGCTAAGGTTAAATTAGAAAGTCAGATTATTTTTATTAGTGAGGCTCAAATAAACACTATTTTCTTTCTAATTACTTCTATTGACTCTTTAGTTGTTAGACCGATTCCACAAAATTATATGTTTGCATTTTTTTTATACTAGGAAATCTAATTTTCTTACCGTGCCGAGACAATAATAACATATATAGAGTGCAGTATTAATAACACATTGAATATTATAAAATTATTTGGAAAAATTTGTCATGCCCAAAAACCTTGAAGGAGTTGAACACGTCGCCAGGTTACTTAAACTTGTGACATAGTGAACCAACATTCGATTCAACCATAGACTTGGACACTGCATGCTTTGTGATAAAGAAATTCTCAAAAGAATTTAGAGTCATTAATGTTCTCCATATTAACTGATAGTAGGCTATATAGTTGATATTTACACCTTAATTGATCATGCTTTGTTGTTGTTTTATAAGGTAAATTGCCAACAAAATGCTTTAAATAGTGTTCTTTGGTTTCGCAGGGAATATTATATGTGAGGAAGCAACACGAAGTGTTTGGAGGCGATAATGTGAAGAAAACACCCACTCAAGAAGCATCCGTACACAAAGGAGCAGAAGAAAATGGCCTGGGCAAAAGTCCACCGCGACCGCGGTGCGACGCGGGGGAATAAATCACAAAAACAGAATGGGCAGTGTTCACCGCGGTCCACGCCGTGACCGCGGGGAACTATTCACGAACCTGGAAATTTGGGGCCAAAGTGTAATTTCGGGGAAACTTTTGTAAAACCCTTATAAGCTGTAGAAACTCGCCCAAGAGGGGGAGAAACTTGTTTTTAGACTACTTTTGGAGGCAGGAACAAGTGTGAGAGATCACCCAAAACATTATAGTTTCTCTATCTCTTTTATTTTCTTGCAATTTTACATTATGAACAATTTAGTAGTTTTCTCTTACTTTGTTATGAGTAGCTAAATCCTTTGTCTAGGGTTTTGATGGAACCTATTGAAGGATGAACTTCTTGATTATGTTAATATAGATTGCCAGTTTAATCTCTATTTGTTCAACTACGTGTTTGTTGTAGTTAATTGACAGGATCCTCAATTAGCTGTGCCTATTTAGTGTGCATAACTCGGGAGAGAGTGCATATTTAGGTAGTTGTTGAACAACATCACTCCCAAGGTATAAGAGGGATCTATAACTGCGGGTTTAAAGGCGGGATTAGGGATAACGAAGCCTTGGGTGCAATCTAAAGTGAGCTGTAATAAACGAAGCCAGCTAGCGTATCTCGGGAGAGTGCGTCTAGTAAATTATTGTGATTACTCGGGAGCGATTTACGGTAAAAAGAGTGCTCATGATTGATAGAGATGTTCTAGTGAATCTATATGAAACATAACCGGAAGGGATTCTACCAATAGGGGAAATCATAGCCTTAGAACCTTCTCATAATTGTTTACAAACCAAGCATAAGTTAGTTTTCAGCTGTCTATTTAATTTCAGTCTTAGTTAATAGTAATACCATCAACTGTGATTTACAACGTTTGGGGAAGTTGATTCCATAGAATTGAGTAAGTCCAACGAAAGTAATTGATAGGTTAATCCCTGTGGGTTCGACTCTGGGCATAAATACTCAGACTATATTTGCAATGTCCGCGTATCTTTTTATAAGGCATAGTTGGGCGTGATCAAATTTTGGCTCGTTGTCGGGGAGTTAACGGTGTTATCAATAACAATTGAAAGAAGTACAACAATTCTGAGTGTAGTCGATTTTCTCTATACCCAATTTTTACATTGACATTTTAACGTTTGTTGACTTGGTTGCACAGGTGCATGCCTAGAAACTCATCGAGATCTGGTGAAGTATTTGAAGCATTATCAGATCCTGAGAAAGTTTTTAAGGCATTAAATCGAGCCAACCGGAAAAACAAATAACAACCAACAACTGCACAATTCGAAACAGTCATGGGAGATCACGAGGCAAACCCAGCTATACCAATAGTGCCAGAAGTTGCTCTCTATGACTGGGCACAACCCACAGCTGAAAATCTGTCCACTGCGATTGTAGTCCCGCAGATACAGGCTGAGTCATTCCAAATCACGAATAACATATTGCACTTGTTGCAGAACAAGGGACTATGGGGTCACAAGTCGAAGATCCTCAGCAGCACTTGAAAATTTTTCTGTCTATCTGCAAAAACCCAAAAGCAGCCAAACGTAACTCCGGAAGCAATCAAGCTGTTATTGTTTACATTCTCAGTGACAGGAGCTTGCCAGACCTGGCTAAACTCACTTCCCATAAATTCTATAACAACTTGGGATGAGTTAGTCAAGCAATTTCATAACAAGTTCCACCCACCCAACAAAACTACTCAACAAATTGATGAAATTTTGAGCTTTAAACATAAACCAATGGAGACACTACATGAGACATGGGAGAGTTTTAAAGGAATGATGGTTGTATGTCCGCACCATGGTATTCCAGATCTGATGTTAGGGCAGCGATTCTACATGGGGTTGTCTGATAGTGTGAAGAATATTGTTGATACTTCAGCTGGTGGAGCATTTCTGGGCAAAACATGGAGAGACGGTCAGAGTCTGCTTGACAAGATGGCATAGAATTCGGGATGGACATCCAGGAATGCACCTATCACTCCAGTGGTGCACTCAGTGCCTTTCGACCCATCCAATTCTATGGTTGAAAATATGGCCACCTTACTGACACAGATGAGTATACTCACCAAAAAGGTGGAAGAGTCCGGGCAGAAGCACCAGGTACACATCGTGGACACTACCAATAGGGGTTTGTGCACATCTTGCATCAATCAGCCAATTGGTAACCAGTGGAATGCAGAACCTGATCATCATCACTATCCGGAAGACATGAATTATGTGTCTAATTATGGAGGCCAGAGACAGGGTGGACAGAATTAGGGCCAGCAGAATCAGCAGTACAGGCCAGCACAGCCACAGTTCAACACTGGGAACATGGGAGGTATGAGACCTCCTAACAATATGGCTCCTTACCCAAAGCCACAGGGATATAATAATCAGAATCAACAGCAGGGGTATCACCCTCCTCAGCAGCAGCATGGTGGAAGGCAAGAGGATGGGTTTGCTAGACTTGAAGCAATGATGCAGCAGGTTATTGGGTCTAATGCTAAAATTAATGAGAGAGTAGATGCACATGATGNCTTCTTCTTTAATTTTAAACCAAACCCCCCCCCCTCCATAACCTAAACACCCGACCCCCTTCCCTTTCACCAATCCTTACTCTCTCTCTCTCTAAAACCCTAACCCCCCCCAAATCCTCTCTTCTCCTTCTTCTTCTTCACTCACACCACCCCCTATCTCAATTCCTCTTCTCTTTCCTTCTTTAAGGTATGACTCTAGCCCTCCCTTCTCTTCTCTTTTTGTGTTTGGATTGTTGTTTATGCTAGTTTGATGTGCCAGTTTGTAATTGTAGTAGATTTTTTGTTTTAGTTTCTTTTTCTGGAGGATGTTGGTGAAGGGGCTGTGTAATTGATGTTTGGAATGGTGTTTGTTGGTGGGTGATTGAATGACACAATTGTGGGGTGTGTTGGTGTAGTTGTATACTTGATTTGGGAGAGTTTTGATAGACTCATGGGAGCTAAATGTGTTTGGGTCATGCCTTGCCCACAAGGTGTTTGGCAAATTGCCCCAATGGAGTTATAAGGAGATAATGTGACATGGTTGTGGTGAAGTCTGAGTAACAACCCATAGTCGCACATTTCTCGCACTCACTAATAGGCGTTTCTCTGTTCTGACAGGTACAATGAGTTCATTGCGTAAGAGACGCAACACCGGGTCCTCCGCTAGTGGACCAGGAGGCTCTTCACGAGCTAGAAGCCAAGCCAGTGCACCTCAATTCGATAGCACTCGGTTTGTATCTAAATCAGCGGAGGAAAGGTACAATCAGAAAGCAGCTAAGAAGTTGCTCCATGAGGTTCATATTGATCGGACTGCATTGGAGATGGAGTGCCCAAACATGTTTAATGAGTTGAGGAGGTGTCAGCTGGACACCTTCTTCGAGGTCCCAGAGGAGGCTAATATTCAGCTGGTAAAAGAGTTTTATGCTAACTTGCCAGAAAATGAGAATGGGGTTGTGACTGTGCGCAACACCCGAGTTAATACATCTATAGAGGCCATCCGCCGAGTGTATCGCCTCCCAACATTCACGGGTGACGATCATTACATAATGTATCACCGCCCGAGGACTGAGTGGGTACCAATTCTTGATGTAATCTGTATCCTGGGCAAAGTGTGCAAATGGATAACGATGCTGAAGACTCTGCACTCACAGTCCCTTAATTGGGAGGCAAAGTGCTGGCTCACTGTCATCAACACCCGCCTGCTACTATCCAGCAATACCACTGATGTGAATGGGCCACGGGCAGTGATGATCTATTACTTTATGACACACCAAAATTTTGATGTCGCCTGAGTCCTCTATGATGAAATGTTCATTAGATCGCCTGAGCTAATCAAGGGCCACTACTTCCCTTCGCTAGTCACCCGACTGTGCCGCATTGCTAAAGTCCCTCAGAACCTTCAGGTTGATGGGAAATTACCTCTGAAGGCTCCATTCCGGGCAAAGAAAATTGGACTCGAGGGGAGAGAGCCGGTGCCGGACAGTGATGACTCTGCTGATGAGTCTGATGATGATGCTGGGGCAGCTGAGGTCACCGCACCTCCGAGAGGGGACGAGGCAGGCCCATCACAGCCATGCCGAAGCACTCGCATGGCAGCTTTAGAGCAGGAGATGGCTGGGTTGCGTACCTCAGTCACTGATTTGAGTGCCCGTGTGGAGGAAGTGGCTGACCGGCAGGTGAAGTCAGAAAAGAAATTCTTGGGCTGGTTGTGAGCGCTGGGTCGTGCGTGCAATGTGAACCCAGACACCGTCTCTGACCAGGAGTGAGCCTCAGGGAAGTTCCTTTACCTCACTATTCTTTACATTTTGAAGCCATGGGAACATATCTTCGTTTTAAGTGTGGGGTGGGGATTTCATTGTATGTTTGTAATTGCAACAATTAACTGTTAGCTTTGGTTGTTCTGTTTGCTTTGATTGTTTTGGTGTTAGAATAGTAGTTTATTAGGTTAGTGAAAATAGTAAGTGACTTGTCCCGATGACGGATCTCTTTCGGCGGGGTTCTTGAGGGACTAAGTCGAGAAAAAAAATGGAATATGGAGACTGTTCCTGATGACGGATCCTTTAGACAATTTTCTTGAGGGAAGTTAGTCTAGAGAAAATACCAAAAAGATTTTTTATTTTATTTTTAGGTAGTGTAGCAACTCCCCCCTTAGTTTTTCTTTGGGCCACGGTTCTTTTCCAAGTATTTAGCTTGAACCAGGTATAGGTAGTTTTTGTTTTTGTTTTAGGTTAGGATTAATGGGGTACGAGTTAAAATCAAAGAAAAAAAAACCTTAGCATTTCTACACCTGAACACGATAGACACTAGAGTGTAACGCTTAGCTTCAAGTGTTGAATCTTGTTTAAGTGCCTTACAATTGCATATTTGTATCTAACTTGAACACTCAAAAGAGAATGTCTTGGCAAACTGATCCGGAGTGAGTCATGTACCATGTGTGTGTGAGTTTCACTGTATTCCATGCGTCACATTTGATGCCTAGAACCTGCCCTGTGTGTTTGCAAAGCGAAATAGTAGTTTCATTCAGTTTTTAGAAGTGATATAGGCATTTCTTTGTTGAGCCAGACATATAAAGTAACCACCTGAATGCATTACATCTTAGTTAACCCCGTTGAGCCTATAAGCCTGTTTCTTTGGCAACCACATTGCGAACCTTACCCAATTGTTTGAATAGCCTGCTGATTGAACCCTTTTACACTAGCACTGAATGGTAGTNCTGTTCTTTACATTTTGAAGCCATGGGGACATGTCTTCGTTTTAAGTGTGGGATGGGGATACTTCATTGTATGTTTGTAATTGTAACAACTGATTATTTGCTTTTGTGTGCTTGTTTTGTTTTGATTGTTTGGTGTTTGAGTGATAGTTCACCGGGTAAGTTAGAATAGTAAGTGACTTGTCCCGACGACGGATCTCTTTCCGCGGGGTTCTTGAGGGACTAAGTCGAGGAAAAAAAATTGGAAAATTGAGACTCTTCCTGATGACGGATCCTTTAGAAAATTTTCTTGAGGGAAGTTAGTCTAGAGAAAAGACCTAAAAGATTTTTTTTTAGGTCGTTTAGTAACTCACCCTTGGTTTTTCTTTGGGCCACGGTTCTTTTCCAAGGGTTTAGCTTGAACCGGGTGTAGGTAGTTCTTTTTCGTTTATTTTATTTTTTTAGTTTTTAATTTAGGACTAATGGACTATGAGCTAAATTCAAAGGAAAACCCTTAGCGTTGATACACCTGAGCACAATAGACACTAGAGTGTAACGCCTAGCTTCATTAGTTGAATCCTGTTAGAGTGCCTTAAAAGTGTACGTTTGTATCTAACTTGAACACTCAAAAGAGAATGTCTTGACAAACTGATCCGGAGTGAGTCATGTGCCATGTGTGTGTGAGTTTCACTGTATTCCATGCTTCACATTTGATGCCTAGAACTTGCCCTGTGTGTTTGCAAAGCGAAATAGTAGTTTCATTCAGTTTTAGAAGTGATATAGACATTTCTTTGTTGAGCTAGACATATAAAGTAACCACCTGAATGCATTACATCTTAGTTAACCCGTTGAGCCTATAAGCCTGTTTCTTTGGCAACCACATTGCGAACCTTACCCAATTGTTTGAATAGCCTGCTGATTGAACCCTTTTACCTCCCACTAAGCACTAGAATGGTAGTGGAAATATGCAAAAGTGAAAGTGTGGTGTGGTGGTTGTTTTTTGAGTGGAACCATTGAAATAGAGAAAAGGTGCAGAATGTTGAAGCATAAAAGAAGAAGCACCACGGAAAAAAAAACAAAAAAAAAGTTATAAATAAAGATAGTGGTTGATGAGTGGTGGTTTGTTATAATTTCACCTACTGGATGGGGTTGTTATGAATAAAAGAAGAAGTGGTGGAATAGTTGGTTGACAGAAATATGGTCTTGAATGTTAATGTAAGTGTATTAAAAAGTGCTTAGGGAGGCTAGTCACTATATCTAAATATATTCTACCAGTCCCTTAGCCTACATTACAACCAAGTAAAGTCCTATTGATCTTAGACTGAGTGG